ACATCCAACCTATCGTAACGGATTGTTCTTTAATGATAAATTTTCGGATTCTCTTATGAAAAACTAATTAACTCACCGGTATCGTTTTAATTTTTATTAAGTAACCGAGGGACAGAGAATTGTGATGTTTCTTTGTCACCATGGGACGTGACATTTAACATACCAGTCAATCGGTAAAATTAGTGAATTCTCAAGCACCTCCTTTAATGTGATTGGCTAGTGATTGAGATGACGACGTTCATGCGTTACGATCAATTGAAATAAAGATGGCGATCAATTTTGATCAATTCTTAATTATGCCTCAAAACAAGAAACCTAAAACAACTTCTAGAACCTTAACTCCAACTACTAACATCTCTCCTTTTTCTAACCTAACAAATAATGTATCAATGTAACAACTACAATATTCGCTACAAAACTTTTAACTGGTCCTTTAAAAGAAACAGCAAGATACGAACCTTTAAAATGAAATAGCAAGACATCCGGTAAAACATTATTCTTTTTATAAATATATACGAAAGATAATAAACTCAAAGGTAGTATGGAAGTGAAAGAGTATGCGTGAGCAATCTCTTTATATGATAAATATTGGCCAATCATCGCAACTCTATTAAAAAAAAAAAGATGGTTCGTCAGATTCATTTAATAAACCATTGAGGGAGGTGCTGGAGAACAAGGCGGTTTTGTGTAAAACCTGCAGATCTTGACAAAAGAAGATTGGTCGTAAGGTGATTTTAATAGCCGATCACCCATGTGTTTAAATGGATTTTTTATATAAAATATTATAAAATCGAATTTATTGACGAAACCGCTATATTTGTTTCAAAATCTATTTAGTGTTATTGTTTAACAGTTACATTTGTTATTGTTGCCGTTGGTACCTCCTCAACATGATATTTCTCTTTATATGGCCAAAAAAAACTATATTAAAAAAAAGATGAGATACGCCACAATACTTAAAATAGTAAAAATAATTCCGTGATACTGTCATATCTTATCGTTCTGAAATTACGTAACACTAGATTATTAACCTTTTGGAGAAAATTATGTAGTGTATATAACACGCATAAAATTCACGAACGTAAGTATTAAAAATATTTACCGTATCAAAAATGGTTGATAGTATAAAGGAACATAATGATTTAAATATAGGATCAATAAATGCGCAAATCGATGATGATCCATCCTATTTAGCTATAAGTCCAAATGGAGAACTTATTGCGACTTTTGATTCTAGTATGTATTACATCACTTTTCACTTTTGACGTATAATTGAAAATGAAATAATCATTGATTTATTCATTCGTCTTATATTTGATTAGAAACTTATGATCTTAAAGTTTACGACTTAGAAATTAACAAAGAAGTTGTCAAATTAGAATCTCGTGAAAATGATAACCAAATTAGCAATACTCCTTTTTTCACTATAGATAAAATGAAAATTAATCCATTACATACGAGAGTATCTTTTTCTTTGGCCATTTCCAATTACGCAAAAATCGGAAAAAAATTAGTTGCATTCGTAGCCTTATCAAGTTTTTGTGATAAAGATATGAAAAAAGTTTGTGAAAATAAGGATGATGTCTCTGACAAAAATCCAAGAAATACTCAAGATCTAGAAAAAGGCGAGCCTAATCCAGAAACGTTTATTTTTTCAACAAAATCAAATGAGAGTATTAAAACTTCTGTAAAAAATCGCGGTGGGGTTGTTAGATTTTTGAATAATAATTTGCCAAAGGGAGCTGATCAATCAGGCGGATCCACTAATCTAATTCTAATGAACACGTCAGGAATTACAAAAGTGTTCATCAGACATAAATATAATAAAAGAATTTTCGACGAGTACGAATTTCCAACTATGATTCAAGTTAAAATTGATAAATTGTATCAAGAATTACCTTGTACAAGATTTTTAAATTCTGTTGTTGAAAAAAATTATTTATTTGTTGAAGATTATAAAAATCAAAAACTTGAAATGTATAATTTACAATCCATGGATTTAGAATTGAGGTTTCATGAAATCTCACTTCCAAAGAAAGCAAGTGGAAACCCTATCTTCTCCATCTCAAAACATGGTCATTTATTAGCATATTATAGTGGTGCAAACTGTATTTCGATTCATTTGATGGAAAATGGACTTAAAGTTGCGACGAAAGAATTTACAGATGTCCTTTCGATTTCATTTATTAACAATGATGAAAGATTACTCGTTGTCACTGAAAAAGACTCTGAAAAAGCCACCAAAGACGTTGAAAAAGTCACCGAAGAAATCATTAAAGATTACACATTCATTCCAACGTTTAATATTTGGGATCTTTTTACCTTTAAAAATGATGTACACAAAGTCAATCATTTAAGTATTTTTAGTTCTTTACAAAAGTCTTCAATCGTTTGTTCAAGTGGCATAATACTTGCAAATTTGCCTGATAAAGTTGTACGGTTAGATCCCTTAATTACAATTAATCAAGCTCAAAACAATTCCTCGAAAACAGACGACTTTAAAGTTATAAAAACATTTAACGTTAAAAAAGAACCCTGGGTTCATAAACAGCCAAATTTTAGTTATTTTTATCTTGATAAAGAGAAAACCATTAAACTTATAATTGGAGAAACTACAGTTCAAGTATGGAAGAAAACAAGTCATAACGATAACACTAAAATTAAAAAATTTTTAGAATATATTTGGATTAATCCAAAAAAATTTACAGCAGCATCTCTGAAGAATGATGTTATCAAACGTGAATTTTATTTAGAATTATCATGGTCGGATAATGAAAAACCAGATAAATATATTCATTGGCCAAATGAAGTTCATGCCCTCAAAGATGCATGTATTGCTATGGAGTATCTTTATAAACGAAGAGACGAACCAGTAGGGACGAGAAACTTAACCAAATACAAAGATTTGGTTGCATATACAGAATGTCTTATTAAAACATGCATTAAAAAAAATCCGGATTTATGGAGTTTATCTGAAGTACGATTTGACGTCATGGCCAATATCATCCGATCAAAGAGTGTACCGTTGTTACATCATACTCTATTCGATTATAAACAAGCAGATGGGAATAAACAAGATAAAACGAGAGTTAGTCGTTATTTGCATATACCAAGGGAATTTGAATGGCCTATGAGAACGAAATCAATGTCTGCTAAAACAAAAGAAAGTGATTTGATGCTTGCTATTAAAATAACATCAAGTGGACATCATAAAGTTATCGTCGCCATGTTGCTCGAATATTATTCAAATAATGCGGAAAAAGATACGGGTGAGTTAATTAGTTTTTCATAAGAGAATCCGAAAATTTATCATTAAAGAACAATCCGTTACGATAGGTTGGATGT